ATAGTCATCCTTACAAATCCGGGATTTGTATAATGAATAATTCGTAGCAGAAATCATTATAATCATGTGATTGGTGGCGTTATTATTATAGGTTCTGTGGCATCTTGCCGGCAATTACTTCGGAAGCGGTTGGGACCATTTGACGGGTCGCATTCTCTGCTGGATAAACACTTTACGCTAAAAAATATTCTCAAAAATATGCGATTTTGTCAAAAATTGGTTGATTCGGACGAGAAAACGTTGGACAAAGATGTGGTAAAAGCAGTGCCGCAGGTGCCCATGAATGATGTACTCGGTGATGAATTTGTTGAGTCACTTGGTGATGAAGATGACTGTGAAGTGATCGATGACTGTTTAAGGATGCCGTGGGGTCGAAGTTATGCTTAGACTAGTGGCACGCCGTTAACTCTGTTTGCTATAAACCCGATTGTGTTTACAGTTGTCGTACTGTATTGCTTTACTTAGTACTTCACAAACCAGGTGTTCCCCAGTGATTAATAACCCTCTTTTGTCCTTACAGCTGATCCTTAGTTCATCTCCCAGGTGCATGTCCACGGATTTTTCGAATTTTTTATTCCAGTTTGCGTCTCCTCTTCGATTTACGTCCCACTTTGCAAACCTCCTCCCCCCCAAAATGAAAACTTAGTTCAGCTGAAGGTGGTAGAGCGTGAAGAGAATAACCTCTTCGAAATATAGACATGTTAATGTGCTTTCTTATCCTTTGATGGTGTCGGCAACGCCCTGGTGTTTTTTGTGCGTTTTGTGCTGTACAACAGTTGCAAAAAACGCATATTGTCACGGTATTGTCTGTTTTTGTGTGTTCGCAGCAACTTGTCCGCAATTTTCGACTCGAAAACCACAAAAGCTGGAAAGCTGAAAATTTAGGGAGATGTTCCCCGTCCGCGGTGATCCCGCAAATTTAAATTGAGCCTTCCCTTACCCACGCGTGACACACCCTCTCTTGTAAAAATTTTGGCGAGAAAATTCCTATCTCGGGAACCACGGAAGCTACGAAGCTGAAATTTTGTGGATATATTCACTGACCATATACGACCTCTCAAACTGAAATTCAGCCTTCCCCTGTGCAGAGATCACGTGCGGCCCCATGAGACTTTTGGCTGGTAAATTATCTCGGGAACCACGGAATCTAGAAAGCTGAAGTTTTAAAGCAGTAATCCCGTGCCCACGTACGACCTCTCAAATTCAGCCTTCTCCTACGTCCGGGTATCACTTACGGCCCCACAAAAGTTTTGGCGAGGAAATTATTATCTCGGAACCGCGGAATTTGGGAGTCTGAGATTTTAGGGTGATATCTTCTGCCAACGTACAACCTCGCAAATTTGGATTCAATCTTCATGCACCCTTGAGTACTACGTATTGTCCCATGCGAGTTTTGTTAGATTATCTCGTGAGTTGCAAAAACCAAAAAGCTGAAATTTTAGTGTGGAATCTCTTGGCCACATACGATTCCGCAAATTTCTAATGTCCCTGGAAATTTTTGCGAGAAAAATCTGCCTCGGGAGCCAAAAGAGCTAGGATGCTGAAGATTT